GGTAGGAGGATACAGGGCCCAACCCAGACTGATACACACCGTCGGGCACACCTGAGAACTATCCTTTTGCCTATTTTCCCCTAGCCCCAGTAGTAGCACTGGCATCAAGCAGCATCTTCATCACGCCAAACCCGAAGGTTTCGGGTTTAGGATTCAGGGTTTAGGGTTCAGGGTTCAGGGTGCAGGGTTTAGGGTTCAGAGTTCAGGGTTTAGGGTTTTGGGTTCAGAGTTCAAGGTTCCGAGTTTAGGGTTCAGGGTTTAGGGCTCAGGGTTCAGGGTGCAGGGTTTAGGGTTCAGGGTTTAGTGTTTAGGGTTTAGGGTTTCCTTACCTCTCTCCTTTCAGACCTTGCCCATTGACCACGCCGCCCTGGCCAAAGCTCCGTGTGATCTGCCGATCCGTGAAGGCTTCGTTCAAGCTCATTGCTGACGATACCTTAAACCCTAAACCACTGAACCCTAACCCAAAAACCCTAAACCCTAAACCCCTAAACCCCTGAACCCTAGGCCCGAAGCCAACATCCCTGAACCGTATTATATCCTGATCTATTGCGAAGCGCTATCCCGACTGCGAGGGCCTGCGGAATCGTCATGTCTCATACCTGTCTTCGGGGCGCCGTCGTGGACGGTGCGGCTCTTAGGACGGGACCTTTTCTGCTCTGGTCTTCGGGGGTTCCTGTATGCAACTGCTGGGCCCATGCATGCACCTCATAACAGCGGGGTCAGAATACTTATGGAACAGGGACTTGGAGTATACTGTTACTGTAGTTGTACTAGAATCCCGGATTCGGGTTGAGGTTATTGGGTGGCATAGCTCATAGAAGTGCCAACCAAAGAGAAGGCAGACGCTCAGCGCTGTACACGGTTGTAGGAGTCAGTCCCGAAGCCCCTTCAACCCTGAAGCCCTTCAGCCTGAATCCGACAAAGAGCAGATCTTTTCTTAAGGAAGTTCCTGTTTTGAGCTACGCACACTGTTCTGAGGGAATTAGGGGAGTCTCAAGAGCTAGACATAAAATCCTCTCATGGCCCGTTCTTATTGACAGTATATACAAACCTCTGCTAATGGAGGAGATGAAGAAACCCTGGCCCTATAACCACCTTTTGTTAGGATTCGTACTAAGAACCCTAATAAAGACCCAGGGTTTCTTAATCAGGTTCCTACATTACCAGAAAGATCGGTCGTTGTTCTAGGAGCGTTAAGTCAGGATTTCAGGGCCACAGGCTCCATGAATATACTTAGGCCTTAAAGTATACCGATATAGAATAGGAACCCCTGCAAGCCCTATACTTAGGCCTTAAAGTATACCGATATAGAATAGGAGCCCCTTCAAGCCCTATACTTGGGCCTTAAAGTAACCGATATAGAACAGGAGCCCCTTCAAGCCCTATACTTAGGCCTTAAAGTATACCGATATAGAATAGGAGCCCCTTCAAGCCCCTATACTTAGGCCTTAAAGTAGACCGAGTCTGTCCTACATCGGCACATATGCCGCCTTCGGGGTTTCGGGCTCGGGGGTTTTTGGATCTTCTGCTCCGGGTCCCCCTTTCCTCCAGCCTCTTCCCAGAGAAACCAATACCCCTTATTTCAGGAATCTACCTTAAATCAGAATAATGACGCCCCTATAATTTAAGGCATATTCCTAAATTAAGGTGTGTTGGGTTCAGCTCCTGAACCCTGAGCCCTAACACGCAAACCTCAAACCCCAAACCCTAAAACCACAAACCCTGAACCCCAAACCCTAAAGGGAACCCTAAACCCTAAACCCCTAAACCCCTGGGGCCTTTACAGGAGAACGACTTGACTCAACAAGCCTGAGGTCAGCTGGTGTGGACGGATCCCGAGAACGAACAGCGTCGCGTCCCTTCGCCCGTCAGTTTAGGGCTCCTTCTTTGGGGGGGGGTTTAGGGAAGGCTAGGGCTTATAGGGCTCAGGGTTTAGGGTTGAGGGTTACCTGGGATTCGGGGTTTAGGGAAGGCTAGAGCTTAGGGTTCGGGGTGTTGGGTTACCTGGGGTTCGGGGTTTAGGGAAGGCTGGGGCTTAAAGTGAGGAATGGCCCAACGCCTACAAGAGGCTATGATTCTGCCTACTCTTGCGGCGCGGTTTCGAGGCTTTAGGGTTTAGGTTTCAACTTTCAAGGCCTCAGGTGCGGGGCTCGGGGCTTTAGGGTTTAGGGTTCTAGGAATTCGGGTTGGAGGGGTTTAGGGTTTAGGGGTTTACAGGGTTGCCTTGGACTTCGTTTTTCTCAGGTTGTTCGGCCTCGGGCTTTTGGGCTTTTGGGTTCAACGGTCTGTGTCAGGGGCTTTGGTGGTAGGGTCTTGCGGGTCTTATGATTTCGAGCCCCACATACTAGTAACTAGTAGATTTGGGGGGACATACGAGAAGCTCCCAGAGGCTCCAAGATACATTGTATGATATACGTCTTATAAAGCCTACGTTGACGATGTTGGGCCCAGAACTATGTCTAGGCCCACTGAACTATTTCTGGCGCGTTGCCGTTGTGTTGGGCCTATAGGTTGTTGCAAGTGCGCTAAACCTCGAGGCAGCATTCGATAATGCATCCGTAGGAAAATCACGACTTGCCAACGTTAATTGACGTCACTCCGACAGGATCTGTGGAGAATCCGCAGCCATGCCTGGTCAGTAGTGACGGCATCCATGTGAAAGCCAAGCGCATTTTGCAGAAGTCCACGTTTGCTTCGCAAGCAGATCTCTACATATTCCGAAGCATTACAGTAATGTCGAAACTGCTGAGCATGCCACATGCATGAACAGCATGGTCCATGTTTTTGCGCTGCACCCTAATCATTCGGTGCTTGAAAAGTCAAAGAGACAAACACTGCACCCTTTGTCCAAAGTTTTCATGGCTGTACCCTGTATCCGCCACGGAGATAATCCGATCCTGCTCCATAGATGTTCCTTCATGAACCTCTGTCGCTCGTTTGCTTTCCCGGTCTCTGCATACATGCCCCCCACCCACCCCACCCTATGAACGAACGGTATATTGTTGGCTGAAGCGTGGTTTTGTCAGTTTCAACTGTGGGTCTTCGAGATTTAATTTTCAGGAAGAGAGTCTAGGGATCAAGGAGTGGGGACGTCGTCGCGGGTTGCCGAAGGCAAGAACCTTTATGCTGGCTTTGGGTCGGAAGTTCCACCTCACACTGTTTCGGGGTGGTATAGGCCCCAGATCTTCAACGTTTACCTCTCGCAGCTGGCTGAGTTTTTACGCTAGACCCCTGACGAAATTGAGTCTTGGGATTCCTTCGTTCCTCACTATGACCTTTACTGGAGGAATCTATTTTGCGGTTTCGCACTTTTGTGAATGTGCAATTGGACGTTGTCAGAGACATAGTTGATCTAGGAGACCCAAGCCCTGATAGCGTGCAGGGCCAAGCTAGGTATGCACGCGTCGTTCCCAGAGACGGGCATAAAGTCGTTCACAGACCACCCTTGCGGCAATGTCGTGGCTCCTGGGACGAAATGAGCTCTGGCGGTTTGCCTTGCATCAAAAACGAATCGTGGTAGAACCTTATAGGGTCGACTGATATAGACGGGTTAGGGTTCTGGCAAATCATAAATCATGATGCCCGGGCAAGCGCATTTATGAACGGGTGCTCTGTCTTGGTTGCACTATCTACCGACTTGTGGATTGCGGTGGCCCTGCTTTCGAAAACTGATTCTTGTCGTATTACAATTTGTTACATTGAATTGCATGCTGCAAAATACGTTTATTGAACTTGTTCCATTCGGAATATGTGCGGAGCACATGTGTGCCACTGCGGCCGGGAGCCAATACTTGCGAATTTGTGTGCCACCCACGCATGTAGCTGTCCCTCGTCCTTATAAGCCCTGAACCCAGCAAATGCTTCAACTTGCAAGCAGCCAACAATTATCGGGATGATATGTATGCACCAAGTTTAAGTACTGGACACTTGACCGCAGTTGATGGTGTTGAATGACATGTGCCGCGCACAGCTGATGTTCCATGGCATATTCTGAATGCCAAACTGCCAAACCATAGCAGCCCATGTTGTTTCACGCGCGGTTGTGTGTGTTGAACAGTGTATTGCATGCATTACGCCACGCTTGGATCGAATGTGTGTTTCGGGTACCACCTGAACTCAAACCTTCGGAATTTATTATGAACACCTGTCCCTAAAAACTTAGCCGAGCCTCGCACACAATACCCTACAAGTTAAGCACCTGCCCTGACATTTGCAAAAGCGCCTTTGCAACCTGTTGGTCGGCATAGCAAGTTGGAGCAACCCCTGCGGGCACGGAACCATTTGCGACCCAATCATACCCATTCCTGTAGCGATGTAAGATCAGGTGTGGGTTGTGGGGTTTGTGTTTTATTTACGGTTTCGCCTCAAGGCTCCAGTCTTTAAACGGCTGTGCTTGGGCGACCTGTTGGCGAGGTCACTCCGGACAGCCCAGATCCACACTGCGGCACGGTGTCAATTACACTATGGATGGTGAAGACTAATCTTCGTGTTTTCATGGTAGTGTTTTCTCCGAGTACTTCTAGCATTCCGATCTCGGATGTGCTGGGTGGAAATGCGGCGCTGTGGTCGAATTTAAGCACATCCTCCAAAAACGTTGTTTCAGCCCCGAGCAGATTGGATACGAAGGCAGAAGCGCAGAAGCTCCAATTGCACATGCAACACCCCAGCGATGTGTTATAGGTGTACATGTCCTGAATTTCCTTCATCCATGTGCAAAACCAAGGCACTTCCCAAGACTGTCAGGAGTTTCAGTGTGTGGTTTAGTGTTTCCAGCTGGGGTTGATTAAGGGCAAAGACGGCCCGGATGGATCGCTCATAAAGCCTTCTGCAGCCTTTAGGGTGAAGGATCTTGTCATTGTTGTCTACAGTAAGTAAGTAGCTGCATGAAGCAGTGCTACTCTTTGTGCCATGATTGTTTCAGTGGTTCTGTCTCCAGAGATGAGTCCAAGGGACTCGCGATAATCACATAGACATGTTACCAAACTTTTTCCCATTTGAAGGCCAACTAGCGCTGACGTGTGCAGCTTGGAGACATCTCTACACAACCGACACGAAGCTGCTTGAGGACCTCTCCTGGCTACATGTGATTGTAGCACATGCACTTCCGCTTGAAGCATCTTGTAGCAACAACAGCACCCTACTTTTAAGCACGGCTTTTGGAACAACTCTCAAGAAGGATTTGTTTTTTGGATGATGGCTCGTATCCTCTGGCTGAGTTTCGTGTTTAAAGCTTCTTTCAGGCTCAGTGATGGGGGCCGACGATTGCCCTCACGGTTTTGGTTGAGCTGGGCATTTCGGCCTTAAGGAACATGTCTTGAATTGTCAGCCATATGTCCAGAAACGTCAACCCGCTTGGCCACCCTTAGTAACAGCTTTGATGCGTACATGCGTTGGATGAGGAACCCTAGACCCTAAACCCCCTAAACTTTAAACCTTATAAACCCTAGGTAAAGCCCTGAGCCGCTATGAGAACAGCGAGGGAAGCCAGAAGAAATATCGGATCTCTTGCGACGCCCGAATCCACAGCCCTTGAGGCCCAAGGTGGACCTCCCAGGGTTTGGGGGTTTAGGAGTTTAGGGTCGAGGGGTTTAGGAGTTAGTTTAAGGTTAAAGGTTTTAGGTTAATCGTTCTGAAGAATCCGCACCATGACATAGTCAGAAGCACTCAGCCCATCAACTTTCCAATGGCTGCCAGTCCAAAGGCACCCCTAGTTGAACTTCGCACTTTCGGCGGGCGATGCACCGAAGGGGAAGGGGAGTCACTTATGTTTTTTGTTTGTCACTCGTGTCATTTCTTTTCGTTTCGCTGGTGTCTTTTCTTATTGTTCCGAAACCCTAAACCCTAAACCCTAAAACCCTAAACCCTAAATTTTTAAACCCTAAAACCCTAAACCCTAAACCCTAAAACCCTAAACCCTAAAGCCCTAAACCCCTAAACCCTAAAACCCTAAACCCTAAACCCCTAGTCTCGAGCGAGAGGCCCCCTGGTAGGACCTGACATAGGAGATCCTCGGTCCCTCTCATTTAGGGGCTGAGTCGGTCCGAGGCGCTCCCTTTCAAGGGGACGAGTTCCGTGGGTTCCTTTGAGGGTTTTAGGGTTTAGGGGTTTAAGGTTTAGGGTTTCCTTTAAATGGGACTTCGGGGCTGAGTAGGTAACCTTTAACCTTTTGGGGCCTATAGAAACCGATTAGAATTCAAAAACGGGGTTAACCGTTTTTGGGCTAAGGTACTCGGCCCCTACGCTCAAGTCGACGCCTCCAGATTGCAACCGGGGCTCAGAATGTTGAACAAATCTCAGCTCGGAGCCGCTAAAGCCCTATCGACCCAATTTTGGTGAGCGTTGAGGCTTGCTTCTCAAAGCCGCGAGCGCGTGAAAAATCCCATACTTTCCCGGCCATACGAAAAGAGAGAAGCAAGAAAAGAAGGCAGATGCAAAAAAAAGAGGACAGAAACAACAATGCAACGGAATAAACTTTATATATAGCCAAACAGCTACATATATATATATACAGATGTATATTATATATATATAGTACATACATACATACATACATACATACATACATACATACATACATACATACATACACACACATACATACATACATACATATGACCCCGAAACCCTAACAACAGTCAAGCTTGAGTCATTGAAAGAAACACCAGGCCGAAACCCTGAAAAAGGAGTAAACCAGACCGAAACCCTAATGAAAGAAGGCCCAAAGCCTAACAACGAGTCAACGGACCCCGAAACCCCAAAAGAAGTAAAAGGTAAGCTTGAAAGAAAGCCGAAAAACCTAAAAAGAGTAAGCCCAGGCCGAAGCCCTAAAAGGAATATACCCAGACCGAAACCCTAATGAAAGAGGGCCCAAACCCTAGCAGGAAAAAAAGTAAAAGGCAAGCTTGATTCGCTCGAGACTGCTGTTTCGCAAAAAGTAAAAGAACACAGGTGACACAGAAAAGAAAGACAGAAGCGACACAAGACAAAACAACACAAGTGACACAATAAAAGACAGAAGCGATGCACCCGCACCGAAGGAATCTTCAGCCACATCTGAAGCCCTCAACCCTAAACCTTATAGGCACTAAACCCATAACCTTTATGAACACTCAACCCTAAACACTTAGCCCTCAAAAACCCTCAATCCCTAAACCCTAAGCCAAAACCCCTAAACCTCTCAACCCTAAACCCTTGTAAACCCTAACCCCAAACCCTAAACCCTAAACCCTACACCAAGCCCTGATGTGCAGGAGCTCTGGCCAAGGTGCGTCGTCTTCGCCCGCATGAAGCCAGATGACAAGATCAATGTCATTTGCTCGCAAGGTTGCAGAAAGGGGTTCTATACGGTTTAGGGTTCCTTTAAGGGGGGTTCTAGGGTTTGAGGTTCTTTTAAGGAGGGTTTAGGGTTTCGGGCCACATGGTACGAAGTTAGGCTGGATTGACAGTAAAGCTCAGGATGTATTTGCGTGTGCGGTGTTGCAACATGATTGAGGCGCTGTGGTTGGGTTTCCTCATCACATCCCTTGCTTTTGGCACGTTCTGGAAGCCCCTGATTCTCCAAGTTTCGGGTGAAGGGAATTCGGTATGTCTTCAGATTTGAGCACTAGGGTTCCGGTGGTCAGGGTCTTAGGCTTAGATACGGCCTCGCATACTTCATGGGTTTAACAAAAACAGCACGACCAAGCTTTACGTTCCGCTGTTCAAACTTGAGCAGGGGCCTGAATAAGACGCACGTCTTAGCAAGCCATATACAATCACATAGATATATATATATATACACATGCATATACCTTTACACAGACTCGCGTTTAAACAATGTGTACTCGAATACTCATCTAGTGTTAGGGTGGAGGGACTGAGGATTGAAGGATGAAAGATTCGGGTCTTTCGGAACTTAGGGTCGGGGGTTCTGAGGTTAGGTCTCGAGGTTCGAGGTTTACCTGAAGCCTGAAGGAAGCAGAAAAATAGCCCTCTAAAGGTTTTGGACCGCTGATTCACCTACTTTCGGGGGTTTAGGTAGACGTTTTGGTCAAGAAGAGGAGCGAAACAATGAAGCAGTCATAGGGGTTTTCGTGGGACAGTACATTACATTTAAGTGTCGCTCGCGTGTCTTTTCCCTGGAGTATTGCGCGAGTAGATAATCTGAACCTTGAACCTAGTATAGCCTCGTATCGGCCTTCAATTATCAGAAAGTGATACAGAGTAGACTAGTATAATAGATTGAATATATTTCTGTATGTTACATAGAAGCATCCCAATTAGAGTTTCGACTGAAGCCTGCACTCTCAACCCGAGGTAGTGAAGTACCTTCAAAGTCGAGGTTTAGTTGTGGGCCGCGGCCTCAAGCAGCGCTGGGTGTAGGGGGTTTGGGTATTCAGGATGAGAGCATAAGTCTACGTAACGCTGTAGCTGTAGATCGGTTTCCGGATGAATTGGGATTCCAGCTGTTTGCTTGCGCAGGACACAAGGTCGTTCATTGATCATGTAGAACGTGCTAGCATCGTGGATGCACCTATAAGACAGCTTGGGGTTTAGATTTTTGTTAGCGTTACCCAGATGGTCTATCTATACCATATATACGACCAGTAATTATGAAATTTGGTCCCAAACAACAATCCTTAGTATGGTTTTGGGACTTGATTCATATTAACAATAGTAATATATAAACGTATATAGATATAGATGGACATACATACATACATGCATACATACGTACGTACGTACGTACGTACGTACGTACATACATACATACATACATACATATACCCTCCTGGTAGGGTGTGTGTGTATATATATATATACAGACCCTGCTGGTAAGGTTTCTGTCCATGGCCTGCTGGTCCAACTGCTGAAGCAGACTTGATGTGAGTGGGTGTTCAAACTGTCATGTCGTGCACCCTAGCATCCCTTAACACCCTAAACCCCTAACCTCTAGATGAACCACAGGCCCTGAAGCTAAAGCATTCTGTATTCTTTCGGGCCTGGCAGTTGGGGACGCACAGCTCTAAAGTTCTGGGAGAACAAAAGCTTCGATAGAGCCAGCAACTCTGTCAGAAATTGACGGCGGGAGACCCTAAACCTTCGAACCCCAAGCCCAAAACCCCTAACGTAGGGAACCTGATTAAGAAACCCTGGCCCTATAACCCCACTTTATGAGGATTTTAGGGTTCATGTTACGAACCCTAACAAAGACCCAAGGCTTTTTTTCATATCAGGTTCCGAAACCAGAAAACCCTAAACCCTAAATCCTCAAGCCGGGGGTCCTGCGCTGGAACTCCTGGTGTTCTATTTCAGCCCTGGGCTAGGACCCAGAGTAGGCCCTTATTCCCTTTTTTAGGGTTCAGGTTCCCTTATAAAGTCCTTTAAACCAGAAAGGGCACCATTTTTATTCCTAGGTCCCCCCCGGGCCCAGTGGGTTTCCTGTACTCGGAAAGGTCAATGTTTGGGGTTTAGGCTTTGGGAGGCCTTGGGTTTAGGGTTTCGGGTTTAGGGGGTTTAGGGTTTAGGGCCTAGGGTTTTGGGTTTCGGGTTTAGGGTTTAGGGTACCAAGAGGGTCCATATAGTACTGGCATGGAATTAGGTTCCCAAAAACCTTAATGATTCATAAGGATGGTCTTTCGTGACCTACTTCCATCATGGTAATATGTATGGACCATCTGGGTTAAACAACATCAGCCGTTCTTCATGCATTCCTACCACACGCGAGTCCGATGGCTTGCTCCCATCATCCTCTCTGTCCATCTCTCGACGTCTTTGGTCAACTACGCGCCCCATTCAACGCCAAAACAACACCCTCAGAATGAACCAAAACCCTGAACCCTAAACCCTAGGCTTTTTACCCCAAAACCCTGAACCCTAAACCCTAAGTTTTTGCCCCAAAACCCTGAACCCTAAACCCTATAAGTTTTTAAACCCCCTCAAAACGCCCGCGAGAATGCCGAAGAGGCATGGCCGGTGATGGTGGCAACGACTGTGGTGGCCTTCGGGCGGCTCATGCCGGTCTGGCCTTGTCAGATGCCGAGGCTTCCTCTTCTTTGGGGGTGTTTAATGTCTTAAAGGGTTTAGGTTTTAGGGTTTAGCGTTTAGGGTTTTAGGGTTTAGGGTTTAGGATTTGAAGTTTAGGGTTTAGGGTTTACAGTCTAGGATAATAAGGGGTCCTAAGTTCTACACCTATATGGCAGAAGGTAGAGTAACGGTACCTAGAACCATGTGGGTTGTGGCGTTTAGGATTTTTTGGGGGGGGTCTAGATTGTAGGGCAGACGGTTTTGTGTGCAAAAGGGGTCCCTGATTTGGGCGCTCTCAGTTTTGGGTTTGGTGGGGTGTGGGGGGGGGGGTTTGGGGTTTTGGGTGTGGGGGGTTTGGAGGGTTTGGGGTTTAGGGTTTGGGGGGTTTGGGGGGTTTGGGGTTCAAGTTGTAGTGCTTACGGCTCTTTTGAGTGCACCTGATTTGGCGCCCTCATGGTCCTTCCAAAGCGATCCTCTTCCTTGGTGCCTTCTATTTTGTATCGGGTGTTGGCTAGCAAGTATGCTTCGGGGTTTAGGGCGTGCATGGGGATCAGGGTTTTCAAGCGGCCCGAGTTGCTTTAATGAAACGTCGGCGGTCTCTCATTTTGTGGACAGTAATTAAAGACTATGCTAAACTCCATCCCTTCATCCGAAGCCTAAACTAAATTCCCAAACCTACCTTAAATAATAAACCCTAAAACCCTAAACTCCCAAACCTACTTTAAACCCTAAACCCCCTAAAGAGCCTTAACCCCCAAACCCGGACCTAAACAACAACCCCGAAGCCTGAAGCTCGGGGACTGAGGAGCTTTGCAACCCTAAAAAGCCCTAAACCTAAGCCCTAAACCCCAACCTCCCTAAACCCAAAACCCCCAAACCCTAAAAAACTCCCGAAACTCTAGACCCTAAACCCTAACCTCCCTAAACCCTGAACCGTAAACCCTAAACTCCCTAAACGCTAAACTCTTTAAGCCCTAAGCCCTAAACCCTAAACTCCCTAAGCCCTAAACCCTAAACTCCCTGAACTCCTTAAACCCTAAGCTGCAGGCCTCCATGGTGGCACCGTTCTCCACGGGCCGCCCGGGCAAGGGTGCAGCCAGGGCTTCGTTCTTTCGAAGGGCTCGGGGCTTCCGCTATAACTAATATAGACGCCTCAATAAAATGCAGTATTCCCTAGGGTTTCTTATTCTATCTATCTATCTATCTACCTATCTATCTATCTATCTATCTATATCTATCTATCTATCTATCTATCTATCTATCTATATATATATTGTGTATAATATAATTACCCCGAACCCTATTCAAATATTGAGGCCCTTATAATGAGTCGGCGGGGCACTGCGGGGTTTAGGGTTTGTGTGCTTACGGCTGTTTGATTAGGTCTATTACCAGGGTCTTCTAAGTGAAGGGTTTGGGGTCTACATGTAATCATCAACCCTAAACCCTAAACCCTATAAACCCTAAACCCTATACACCCTAAACCCTAAACCCTATAAACCCTAAACCCTAAACCCTAAACCCTTAACCGGAAGCCCTACACCCTATAAGCCCTAAACCCTAAACCGCCCGCTGCCACGACTTCGTAGCCTCCGAGATCCTCCTTTCGACGTCCCCTGGTTCTTAGTAGGGAATGGAGGAATGGTTCCCTATGATAGCCCCTTAGCCTTAAGGTCCCTCAAAAAGTAGTCCCAAAAAACCCATTCCTCCATTCCCTACTAAGAACCGGAATGTCGATTCAAAGCTCCGAAAGCCAGAGAATAGACGGATGCCCCAAGTGAAACCCTTTTGAAACTCAGCAACCCTGAACCTTTTCAGGAGAAGGTCCAAACCCAAACAGGCCAGAGCGCTAAACCCTCAAACTCCTTAAACCCTAAACCAAACTCCCTAAACCCTAAACCCTCAAACTCCCTAAACCCTAAACCCTCAAACTCCCTAAACCCTAAACCCTCAGACTCCCTAAACCCTAATAAACCCTCAGACTCCCGAAACCCTCCCGACCCCAGACCCCAAGGCCTGCTTGAGCCGTGAGCCTGCCGCAACCTCTGCTCCCTACACCCGAGCCCGACCCCGGTTTAGGGTTTAGGGCTTATAGGGTTTAAAATTTGGGGGTTAGGATTCAGGGTTTAGGATTCAGGGTTTAGGGTTTAGGCTTAAGAGTTTAGTGGTGGGGGCCGGATTCTTTGGAACCCCGGGCGCGCGACATCGAAAAGATATGATGGGCGGATCTATCTAGCTACATGACAAGTTTTGTCAGATCTTATATCAACTGACATGTTTAAGTCCGACAGCGGCCAAACACATGGGGCAGGGGATCCTGCAGTATCTGGGTCTAGGTTTGTGGGTTTGGGGTCTACGCGGGCACGTGGAGTTTTTCGTGGGTCCATCTCTGGGTCCTACATGCATTGCATGCGAAGTTGCGCAAGGCCGCAGCGCAGAAACTCAAAGCCCCTAAACCCCTTGAGGCCCGAGTGAACCGCCGAAGCCTTTGCGCCTAGACCCTAAATCCTAAACCCTCTCTTTCTTATATTAACTCTACTATAAAACTGCTCGATCCGGAGCTGCTGAACCCTAAACCCTAAACTTACCCTAAGCCCTAAACCCTAAACCCTTTCATGTCTTTTGCCCCCGAGCCCTAGCGTCGACCTTGAGTCCTTTATAAAAATCCCTAGGCCCAGCCGCAGCCTAAGGCTCTAAGGACTCAATTTTTAAGGCTTTTGGGCCCAAAGACCATACTATGTAAGGCTTTTGGGCTACTTTGAGCCTTTGGGGCAGCTCTGGAGGTGCCGCGAGGAACGACATCTCCCTGACCACCATGCCGGACCTGATCCGAGAAGGCCGAAAAGCGTTCCATAAGGGTTTAGGGTACGGGGGTTTAGGGGTTTAGGGTGTAGGGGTTTAGGGTTCAGGGGTTTAGGGTGTAGGGGTTTAGGATTCAGGGGTTTGGGGTTTAGGGTTTAGGGTTCAGGGGTTTAGGGGTTTTGGGTGTAGGGGTTTAGGGTTTAGGGTTCAGGGGTTTAGGGTTTAGGGTTCCATAAGTTCCATACTGTTGATGATATAAATCCTTAAGGACCCCCCTAACCTATGGGAATTCTGGTATATTCCTTATTATGGGTCATGCAGGATTTCTATCATCAACCGTAGTTTGATATTTGAGGCGTTGGCCCCCAAAACCATGCTAGCAAAGGCTATGATGTTACCCTTGCGACTCTCAAGCATACATCGTAGTTTAAAGCTTTCGGGTTAAGGGTTTCAGGCTTTTGCGTCCCCGAACCATACAATGGAAACCATGCTACCGTTGATGATGTAAATCCTGCGCTACCTTAAGGACCCTAAGCTATGGGAATTATGGTCTATTCCTTGTAATGGGTAATGCAGGATTTGCATCGTCAGCCGCTGTCATGTACGGTTTACGGAGTTTTTGTTGACGTTCCTATAGAGCCTTTCTCCCATGGAATATCTGAGGATAATCATGGTGTCAATATAAAAGGGTCGGAATCACTTGTAATATTTTTCCCCTGTAGCCCCCAGATGCTTCTGTATATCCCGAAATCCCCAAACCCCAAACCCTCAACCCTAAACCCTAAACCCGAACCCCAAAACCCTAAATATGGCCCCCGGAGACTTCGAGACTGGCAACACTCGCCATGGTACCCAACTATTTAGGGTTTAGGGTTTAGTTTCGTGATGTGATCTTACGGTTTAGGGTTGAAGCTTTTTTCGGCTTGAAGTTACGGGTGAGAGTATAGGGTGGTACAGGGTTGAGGTGCGCAGTCGGTGAATTGTGTATGCATATATGTATGAATGTATGCATGTATGCATGTATGTAATATATTGTACTGCACTGTAGTGCAATGCAATGTAGTGCAATGCAATGCAATGCATGTAGGTCTTAGGTGAATATTTCTATTATTGTATATATGTATATATACATATTGATAACTAGATAAATAGATAGATGGATGGATAGATAGATAGATGGATGGATAGATAATTAGATGCATAGATAGATAGATAGATAGATAGATAGATAGGTTGATAGACAGATAAATAGATAGATAAATAGATAGACTTATTCATAGGTTGATAACGATAGCTAGGTAGATAGATAGGCAGATACCTAGGGTTAATACCCCAGGGTTCGACTCTCGAGCGGGAGGCCGCGCGTGTTTGGCGACGAACATGGCCACCTTTAGCTACTTCATGGTCTATGCCTTCTTGCTGACGACGGCGCAGCACTCAGGGTTTAGGGTTTAGGGGTCTATGCCTTCTTGCTGCCGACGGTAAGGCACTCGGGGTTCCGTTGTTTTGAGCTGTCCGTGTGTTGCACATTTTTCATCCCACGTGCGGTATGCCTTCGGCCTTCGGGTAGTGCTTGGATCTGTGAAGTAGATCAGAGGCAACATGAATGCATTCATAAACGTCGTGTGGTATATGTACGCATACAGACATGCATATATACACCAGACCATCGCCCTTTCGGAATTTCGGAGAGTCTTTCTTGGAGTGGCTCTGCTTTCAGAATCTTTAATTTGAAGGATCGCTTCGGGTCCGGTAGGATTCAGATCGAGCGGCCCTCAACTCTAAACCTGATGCACACAGCCCTAAAGCCCTAAACCATAAGCCCCTATAAACCTTAATTAAAGGAACCCCAAACCCTATAAACCCTTACCCCCCTATGAACCATTCAGTCTTCAACCTGAAAACCCGGCTGTAGGGTTTAGGGTTTAGGGTTTAGGGCTTAGGGTTTATGATGAACTTTTCTACACTGCTCTCCACCGACGCGGCGTGTTGCTATAGACTGGTACAGCGCTCACAAGTTCGGGCCGAGAATCCTCAGACTCCTTAGACCCTTCACCCTCAATCCTGGAACTGCAACACTGAGTAAGCCCTGTAACATCCGAAAGAATCCTTCGAGCCCTGGACCCTCAACTTATATGCGAGCCTTCTCCTCTATAGAACTTCACAGCCGTTGTTTGAAAGTCTGCACCCTAAACCTCAAGAACCATGAAAGATCATAAGAAACCCTCTTGAAGAAAACACCCTTTCAGCGCCATATCCCCTCTAAATCCCGAAACCCCGAACTCGAAATCCTAAGCTGTAAAAACCCGAAATCGCTAACCCCAAAGCCCCTAAACCCTAAACCCAGAACCCTTCAGCTCTCTACGCACCTTCTGCCGAAGATCCGGACCTTCTTTATCATGGCCCTAAACCCCATAAAACCCCCAAAACATCCTAAACCCACGGTCTGGCTGGACCTTCCTCAGCACCCTAAACCCTACATCCCCGCAACCCTACAAAGGCCCGAAAAACCTTGAAACCCCCTACACACTCCGAAACCCAAGATCTCCGGACCTTCTTCATCATCCAAACCCTTAAAACCCTAATAACCCAAAAACAGAGCACCCTATAAGCCCCAAAAAAACACGAATCACCCCCTAATCTATCATCCTAGAAACCCTAAACAAAAATCCTTAACCCAAGATCCGCCTAAAGCCCTTAAGCCTTTAAGCAACCCAAAAACCAACAAAAACACCACAAAAAGCAAAAAACACAAAAACAACAAAAGCAACACAAAGAGCAACAAAGCAACAAGATCCGGACCTTCTTCATCATCTTCAAGAACCTCTGCCTCGGTGAGCGACCCGCCTCAGCGGTTTTTTCTTGTGGGGCTTTGAGGGGTCGTGTCGGTGGTTTTCAGGGTTCTTGGTTTTTTTTAGTGGTTTTGTCTTGGTGTTTAGGGGTTCTTAGGTTTTTTTTATTTTTGTTTAAGGGGGTTTCTTTTAGGGGTTTTTAGGGGCTCAGGGTTTAGGGGAGTTTAGTTCCGATGGACTTTTGGGGGGTCTCGGGGTCTGAAAGCTCTTTTGTGGTTGTTTGTTTTGCTCACAGGTTTGGCGGGGGAGTCTTCTGGAGGGGGCTTTATGCATTGGGGTATATACAGGGTTTTAGGCGTTGGGCTCTTCAGGGTTTAGGGGGTTTAGGGCCATGGGGTTCTAGGGTTTTGCGTTTTTGGGGCTTGGGTGAGGGTAGGGCTTGTTGCAGGACTGGTCGGAGATTGAGGCTTGTAATGGGGTTTAGTATGTAATTAGTGCTCCCGTCACAATCCCCAGAGGGTTTGTTTTAGGGTTTAGGGTTTAAGGTTGGTCTAGGGAGTGTTGGCTCGGCTTGATCATCTCCAGTTTTTGAGCAGTTCTCAAAATCAGGGTCCCTTTTTATTGAGGTCCCCACTGTAGTACGGCGCCCTTGTAAGAAGGACCCCAGAAAGGGACCCCAGTTTCGAGAACTACCCATATAGGGTTCAGGGCTTAAGCTTCTGTACTTCATCGATGTTACTCAGGGTGCTGCAGGCTAGTTGCGGACATTCCCTGGAGGCTGAACATGTGTAGGTTGGGCAGGGTGACCGTTCGAGACGGTGTGGTGTAATGTAGGGCCTGGGGGGTACCGTATATAGTACAAGTATACTGAGAACCCTAAGGAATTAATCTAAACCCCTAAACCTGCACCAACCAGCTTGCCGTCCTTCAGCTCGCATCCTTCTTCTAGCTCTGCATTCGGAGTTCGCCCATGAACCGTTGCCAACACCACAACGTTCTAGTTGGTTGCTGGGTTGCTTTTTGGAGTTTAGTCCTTGCGCTGCTCTTCAATTCGGAGTTTTAGAAATGGGGGACCCTGGACCAAGAGGACCCTCAATACAAGGACCCCTCAAACTTAATGTGCATGTACCACCCCCCTCAGATTTCAAGAATCCCCAAATGATCGCACGAGTGTGAAGTACACTCGGGACTGCATATTCTGAATGAAATACAAACTCTTGAAATGCCTTGCATGATCTTCGCTTCCTTGAATTAATGTACTCATGCCATGGTTGAAGCAAAGTTGAAAGAACACGTGGGGTCAACTCTGCCATGCTCCAAAAAATAAGACAGATCCAGGTGGGTGTGGATGACATCTGTCTGGGGCCCAAAAACGTGTCTCCACGATCCTGGTACTTCTGCATTAAGCTACACACTAAACCCTAAACCTACGCGCTCTAAGTTCAGATGTGCCCACAAGGCTACATGTAGCCCTCGACTTCTGCGCAGAGAGTGCGAGTTTGCGACTTTCAAACCTTCTGGTCTGTACACATCTTGCGTAGGTTCCAGCACAAATCGACGGCGCGTACTCACCTTCTAGTAACAAAAGAGCTAAACGACGGTGTAAGATCTGCATGTACGCCGCTCTATCGGCAAGCGGAGAACTTGATGGCGGATCGAGCGATGTGGCCATAGCACAAACCCTAAACCCTAAACTCTAAACCCTAAACCCCTAAACCCTATAAGCCCTTATAAGCCCTAAACCCTAAACCGTATGGTGGAGGCTGGGGCCCTGCTGAGATGTGATCCACCAAAAGCTGCATCTTGAAGACACAAATACCCAAGGGTCGTCATAAAATTAGGCAGTTCTCTAAAGTAGGGTCCCATTTTGAGTCCCCAATATAGTACGGCACCCTTATATATATATATATAAACAAACATAAAAGGGACCCTAATTTAGACAACTACCCACATAGTTTTCCTCTGGGCATGAGGGGCTTGTAATTGGTGAACAGAACATCTGGAAAAGCTCTTCCAACCCATCCGCCGCGGCGACCCGAAACCTAAAACAAAACCAGCCCTGGTCTCCCAATCGAACTACGGGTTTAGGGTTTAGGGTTCAGGGGTTAGGGATAGGTTGAAGGATAATGAGACTCTGTAGCTAGGGCCATACATCACGCAACTATAGCTAGTTATCACTACTTACCAAGAGGGTCCGTTTACTTATACTACAGACCCAAAACCCTAAACCGCATATTCCATAGTGGTAGTATATGGACCCATTGGCTTATAATTAACACCACTTTGGGGGGAAAACCTGGCCTTAAGAAGGACCCCCCCGCCCTCTTCCGAAGAAAGAGCGGTAACCGAGGAGCCCATGAGCTTTGTAAGATACTGCCCAGAAGGTCCATATATACTACCTCAAGGAGTAGTTTTTTTTTGGGGTTTGGGGTTTATGTTTTATAGTCTACCCACAGGGTCCATCCATCCATATATATATATATATACATACCCTGATGGAATCAGGTCTCAAAAGACCATCCTTATTATGGTTTGGGGGACCTAACTCCATAATAGTAGTAATTATGTAGCAGTATACATGGACCCTCTTGGCCATAGTCTATTGTCCGTTTTGGGGTTACCTTATAGGAACCTAGGTATACAATTTGTTAAAGCAAGAAAGGAACTACAATGGAGACTTTAGGTAGCTCTGAATAGTTGTGTAATCTGTAATACTGGTGCCCCTGTAGGTTGCGAGACATATACTCTACCGGTACATACCTTGACACCCAATCAACATCATCCGCCCAAGACCCAGTAAAGCTTCTCCCATCTTGTTCCACGCTACAGGACATCGGTGTTGGTGTCATCATGATGCTCCCCGTCTTAGACAGAAGCCCTGACCCATGAACCCTCTGGGTTTAGAACTTTCTCACCGGCCTCTACACCCTAAACGGTGTAAAGCTTTCTGACCGGCTTTGGTTGATGAGTTCGGGCGTGGAATCTGTTTTCCGAATGCTTGTCATTGTGGTGCAGGTTTAGGGTTCAGCTTCTGGTCACCACCTCCTCGTAGCTCAAAGAGAAGCCACGCCCATCACCCAACCCCAAACCCCGAATCCTAGTTGCGGCAGCAATTGCAGCAGCAGCAGCAGCAGCAGCAGCCGAGGCAGCAGCAGCAGCAGCAGCAGCAGCAGCAGCAGTACCTTCACGGCAGTAACAGCACTAACCATAGCAATATGAGTAGTTGTTGCTGTGGTAGTAATTTACCTGCCGTGGTGGTCGCACAATACTATCCCAACTCTGCACTCTCAACCCGAAGCAATCACAAAAATCCTGAACGCTGATTTTCAATCTCTCTCCAACAGTATTAGTATTACAAGATACCCCCGAGACTCCTATATTGGAACCCTGATAGAAACACGCCGCCTTACACCGTAGTAGTAAATTAGGTAAGCTTTAACCTTGTTGGGCATTATAACCCTGATATAATCTTTAAAGGCTAACCGTTAGTTCACTTAGGATACTGGACAAGCAGGAGGCCCTGTCTACCTGAAACCATGTATACCTCAAACCATGGAAGGGAGTATAGGTGGGAACTCCAGTCCCGCTGCGAGGGTTTACGGGGAAGGGGCCGATTGAGGCTTTGAGGACACGAAACCCCCTTAGGTGAGGGAGATCTTGAATCGTATGAATACCGTATGAAGGCTCCCTCTATGCACAACTTTTGGGGAGGGGGGGACACGCATTTTGGGATAGGTCCACACACAACAAAGCCTTGCAACATGGGTAGCTTGCCGCAGAGTAGGCAAGCAAGCGCCCAGCCCTAAACCCTAAGCCCTAAAACCTATACCCTAAGCCCTACATTCTTGATTCCGCAGCAGTCATCTACTGTAGATAACTTGCATCCTAGGTAGGTTCTGGAGTTTCTGGGGGTTTTCAAAACCCGAAGGGGCCATGTACCCAAAGAGTATATACCTTGGCCCCCAAAGTACCTCTATAGGGACTAGTTTAAGGCCAAAGTATATACTATTTGAGTACCATGGACCCTTAGGGAAACGAATGAACATGGTAACATTGAGAGCTCAACCCTCAACCCTCAACCCTCAACCCTAAACCCTAACCATAATCGGAAAGATGCCCAGAGTCCTAAATCCTCATAAGGCCTACATGGGTAGTTCTCTAAACTAGGGTCCCTTTTAGGGGTCCTTTGTACAATTGTGCCGTACGATCTAGGGGACCCTAAACTTTCCTAAACAGGGACCTTAGTTTAGAGAACTACTCACATCCCACGCCCGATAAGATCCTGTCAGCCCTGCGTGATTTCTCTTGGACTCTAAAGCCCAAGCCTTAGACCCCCCCAATGTAGGAGCCTTATAGTTAGAGAAGGGTTTTGGGGGTTCCTTATTATAGTTATAAAAGAATATATATATATATATTGTAATAATAATGATATCGCCCCTATATCCTAGAACCTTATTATAGATCCCTTATAGAACCCTTCAGAGAACCCTTAAGTTAGGAACGTCTACCTGAAAAGCCAAGTAGCCCAAAATAACAGACTACCATACCCTAAAGTAGCCCATAATTGGCTCAAAGTAGCCCCTAAATACAGACTACTGGCTCGCCACCCTAAACCCTAAACCCTAAACCCCCATAAACCCATAAACCCTAAACCCAAACCCCCAAACCCCCATAAATCCTAAACCCCTAAACCCTAAACCCTGAATCCTGACCCCTATACCCCGAAACCCCTAAGCCCCTGTTCCTTCGCCCATCTTGGAGTTTCGAGGCTTCAAAGGAACGTCTACCCCCGGAATCCGAGGTTCTTCATGACCCTAAACCCTATAAACCCTATAAACCCTAAAACCCTAAGCCCCAAACCCCCAATATAGATCCCCTTATAAACCCCCTTTCCTGAACCCTATAAACCCTATAAACCCAATAAACCCTATGAACCGTATAAACCCTATAAACCATCTAAACCCTATAAACCCTCTAAACCCTATAAACCCTATAAACCCTCTAAACCCTATAAACCCTCTAAACCCTATAAACCCTAAACCCTACACCCCGGAATCCGAGGTTCTTCATGACCCAGTCTCGGGCCCGACCTGAGTTGGCCAAGTTTCGGCCAACCGCCACACTCCTGGGCCTGCGAACCGTCTCAGGCGGGGCGGGTTTAAGGGTTTGGGGGTTTAGGGTTTATAGGGTTTTGAGGGTTTTAGGGTTTAGGGTTTAGGGTTCTAGGGGTTTAGGGATTAGGGCTTAGGGTTTTAGGGTTTAGGGTTTTAGGGTTTAGGGTTTAGGGCTGCAGTCTTCTCGACTAGGGTTTCGGTTGGATACTGTCCCCCACTCAGTAACAGTTGAGTTCTAGGAAAATTCATAATATGGATATATAAGGCCCTTCCTACATAAAATGGAGATATTATATCAGTGTTACATGTTTGGGGGGGCCCCTGTTGGGGAGGCCCATACCGGTGGCATGAGATATAAGGCCCTTAATAGTAGCCCTAGTCTAGACTGTTACTGTATGGGGGCAGTACCCAAGGCCTAGGATTTACATCCACCAGGCAGGGCTACAGGCTTCTCGATGGCTCGGGGCTGAGGGCAGAGGGGTCTAGGGTTTCTGAGGGTTTCTTAGGGTTTGGGGGGTTTTGGGGTTTGGGGTTCAAAGGGGCCTCCAAGAGGGCCCTTGTTCCCTTTTAGTAGTCGTATATACCAAAAACGGGAGTCCTTCTTATTCCGAAGTTACTGGGATCCTAGTCGAGGGCTCAGGGCCTAGAGCACCCTAAACCCTGCAAAAAATCAAACATGACTTCCAGAAACAGTATAGTTGGGTGTACGACTGAGTCTTCCCCAAGGGTCCTTGTGCCCAAGTACTACATACTTTAGGCTTACAGTAGTCCCCTCATAGGGTTGAAGGACTGGACTTTAGGGATTTTACGGCCTTTGGAGACTTTAATTAGGGCCAAAAGGATTATAATTATACTGTTTGTGTACCTGGACCAAAAGGGATTCTGGTGTGAGAGCCACCGACGCTTCAAGCTTCGAGAGCAAGCAGCCCCAAACCCTAAAACCCTAAACCCTAAACCCCCAAACCCTAAGCCATACAACCCTGAACCCTAAACCCCAAACCCTAAACCCTATAAGCCCTAAAACCTAAACCCGGACCTTGCATCCGGAGGGGTTTCATAGGCGTGCCGCGTTCGCTAGGCTTGTCGCGGCTCCTGCTGGGGGATCTAACTTCCACAGCCTTCCCGCGTCACGGTTTAGAGCTTCAGGCTTTAGGCCGCCGGACTTCCTTACTGTTGATGATATCAATCCTGCGCTACCTTAAGGACCCTAAACTATGGGAAATATTATGGTATATTCCTTTACTATGCAGGATTTATACCATCAACCGTAGTAAGAACACCCCACAATCCTTAAATTGGGGTCGGGAATAGAGATCTGTACTCGCTGTCTATTTTATTTTAGGTTGGGTTCTGCAGTATTTTCGCCACCTCCCAGATAGGTACTCGGTGTAGGGCTTGCTTCCGAAGCTCTTTACACTCTACGCTAAACCCCAAACCCTAAACCCTAAACCTCCCGAAACGTTCTGCCGACCCTGCGAGGCGTCTTGGTGCCATATCTTCTTGGTTCTGCAATTATGGCTGTGGCCTGGCAGGGGTTTGGGGTTTAGGAGTTTAGGGCTAAGGGTTTAGGGTTTAGGGTTTAGGGTTAGGTTTGGGGTTTAGAGGCAGGGCTTGATTGGTTAATGATTTGGTCTTCTGGGCCATTTGGTTTGGCTTTGCTTTTGCACCTACGGTTGATGATCTAAATCCTGCATGGCCCATAATAAGGAATAGACCACAATTCCCATAGTTTCGGGTCCTTAAGGTAATGCAGGATTTATGTCATCAGCAGTAGTGTGTTTCGAGGGCTATTGAACCTAGGTTTCTGATGCCTCGCAGAGGACAAACCATCATTTGGAGTGTAGAAGCTGGTTGCATCGGCGATGGATCGTTCCGATCGGGCAAAACCGCCTTTTCCTTCCCGGCCTTATTAATATTTTTAGGGTTCAGGGTTTAGGGTTTCCTTCGCAACACGTCGTGTGTTTCGCCCCAGTTATTTCGATGTTCGCACATAGATCTGGAAAGCCTGCATTCTACATGAGATCATTCCTGCAACATACAAGCAACGAATGTAGGAAAGACTCGCCTACATCCTGAACCCTCGCCCCTGCCCTATTGTCCCAATTTTTTTCATTCGAGTGAAATGGTCCCGTTGTTAAGCCCTGAAATAATGGGGCTCAGAAAATTCATATTGGCATCTCTTTATGGTCCTAATTCACGTCATCATAGAATGAGGATTACCAGGCTTTCCCAAGAACATGGAGTTTAAAGCTTAGGGTGTTTACTCTGAACTTCGCGAGGTTGGCATTGTCATCCTGCACAGCTACAAGTGGTATGACGGGCTGCACTTGACTCAGTTCTCCGAAAATGTGTCTTTCCGGTGCTGTCTCGGGAGACTGTTTGGCAGAAGGGACAGACGGCAGGGTGCATCTCGGAGCTGAAAGATGTAGGAGTCAGTGCTCATGCTCCCGAGTTGTGGTTTAGGGGTTGTTGAGGTTTTAGGTCCATCATGGCAGTCTTAAATACCTTGACGGATCTGCATGTGTACGAGCCAACTATGTATCGTCTCTTCTGCTTCTCTGGGTCTATCTATACCTGGCACCTGGTGTACTGAGAAATGCCAGCTGGCGCGTCCACTCATATGAGTAGTTTATCTAAAGTAAGGTCCCTTTTGCAAGCAGGGCTGTAGACAGGAACAGGAATGTAGAGAATTACCCACATTTGCACAGGCTGCATAGGTGCATATGTATGCAGTGTCATATGTATACACATGAATATACGCATCTACACTAAGGCAAAGAAAGACACATGTACACACGCACGCACACACGTATGCATGTGCAGTGTATGTGTATGTGTATGTGTGTGTGTGATGGAATGTATGTATGTATGTATGCATGCATGCATGCATGCATGCATGCATGCATGTTTCTATGAATCCTTTCATGGTTTCATATATTGATGAACTGCATAGTTTGGTATGGTATCGTCTGTCATGGAATAGCATGGCATGGCGTGGCATGGCATGGTATGGTATGGTAATTTTTCGTCTACTCGTACGGTATGATATGGTATGTACTAGTTGTGCACGCAAGCAGGTGTGCGTATATGTAGGGTATGTATATATGCACAGTAAAGCACGAACAAATTGTGCGTAATTCCTCAAGGGTTTTGGGCCTAGAGGCGTAAGACCTGAGGCCACGCACAGCCATACCCCAGCCCTGAACCCTAAGCCCCTTGATCCCACAAAGTCCTAACCTCCTAAACCGCACACCCCTAAACCCTGCACCCATCTAGCCGCTAACCCTTAAGCCCCTAAACCCTACACCCCTGAACCCTAAATCCTATCTCCTCAACCGCACACCTTGCAAACCCTAAACCCATGAAGCCCTAAGCAATCCCCCAAAACCCGAAGCGCTACTCAAACCCGAGCCGCCTGTCCTAGCCCCAGCTCTAGAACCCCGAGCTGCTTTTTACTCAACGCAGGCCAGTCGAAACCCTCAGCCCTTGAAGCCCTATATGGGACTTTCCGAAAATTAGGGGTACCTTATTTTGGGGTCCTGATAATGTGGATCCTGCTATTAAGGGTGCTATATTAGGGCGGAAACCCCTGAACCCTAAATCCTAAACTCTAAACCCTAAACCCTAAACTCTAAACCCTAAACCCTAAACCCTAAACTCTAAACCCCTATACGGCCGAGGAACCCGAGTACGATTCACATCCGTGCTCAGCATCTCGTGCGTAAAGCCAGCTTCCTGGGGCCGGTCTAGGGCTTCGGCGTTGGGTATTTAGGGTATTTAGGGTTTAGGGTTTAGGGTATTTAGGGTTTAGGGTTTAGGGTATTTAGGGATGTTTAGGGTTTCGGCTTTGAACTGGGTTCTTGTTAGCTTTTTTAATTTTAAGTTACCATAATAAGGAATCATTTTATTTACTATAGATTCCCATTATGGCAACTCAAACAAAATCCCTTAACAAGAGCCCGGTAAAGGATACCTAAGGGTCGACGGTGTCGGTTCAGACTCCTCGGGCTTGAGAACCCTAAACCCTAAACCCTAAACCCTTTCAGGGTTTAGGGTTTGGGGATGTTTAGGGTTTAGTTTTAGGGTTTAGGGATGTAGGGTTTAGGGTTTGGGGATGTTTAGGGCTTAGAGATGTTTAGGGTTCAGGGCTTAGGGATGTGCAGGGTTTAGGGTTTAGGCATGTTCCGGGTTTAGGTTTTAGGGTTTCGGGTTTAGGGATGTTTAGGGTTTAGGGATGTTTAGGTTTTAGGGTGTAGGGCTTACGGTTTAACTTCGACAGTAAGACTGCATGCGAGCGACGGACCCGGTGAAGGAGCGCGACAAGCAGATAGCTCTCGGTGCCCTTCCCTCGATATCTGCATGATTAAAACAACTCTAAGCATGCATTCCTGAGTCTGCTACAATCCTGACAAAGGGGCACGATTGACAAATTCAGAAGCCCTTAGCTACAGGACAGCACAGCGGCGCTTGCCTTCGAACACCAGTTGTCCAGCACGCCTGAAAGCAGAATGAGCGACACTTCTAGTGGCCGTATCACCTAGTTAGCAATAGGCCAAATCAGACTACTTCGAATGCTATTGTAGGAACCTACCGGACAAACCCTGGGCCTGTAAGCCCAAAGTAGAAGGATCTATAGCAAGAAAGGCCCAGGGATTCTTAATCAGGTTCCTAACCCTCAACCTAAACCTAAACCCTAAACCCTAAACCTTAAGCCCTAAACCCCAAAGGCCCTGACCCTGAAGCCAGGGTCCCAGGGCCGAAGAGTTGCGACTCACTTTTTTGTTTTGTGGTGTAGGTTGTTGAAACTTGAAACCCTAACCCCGAACCCATAAAGCATAAACCCTAAACTTTAAGCCCTAAACCCTAAACCCCGAATCCAAATACCCCCTAAACCCTAAACCCTAAACCGGTTGATCCTTAGGTTTAGGGTGGGCTGAGGGTTCTAAGCTTCATGGCTTGAGGCTTGGATGTTTTTGCTGGCGGTTGGCTGTCAACTCTGCAGGCTGTGTACCCATAGGCCCCTAAGTAGTTCCTTTTTGGGATTACCGTATAGGGTTCTATATGTAAACCACAAAAAGGAACTACTTAGGGGCCTATGGGTAGGGCTACGGGCCACAACTCCATGAGGAATTGGGTTTGTGTTGCAGTTGGGGGATCAGGCCGTCTGATTCTTCTCAGCTTGCTTTGTGTACTGCGTGATCTGTGACATTTGGTTGAGTCTTGGGTTTAGGGTGTGCAGGCTTTAGGATTGCATTTTCTCTTAGGTACTGGATGAACAAAGGCGACAACTACGACAGCAACTTGCCGGAAGACGGCCTATGCTGGGGGAGAACCCTGAACACCATAGTTTGATGGATCTAGGATGATCTAAGGTTGGGGGTTTAGCTTATTCGATGTAGGGTTAGCTAGGGGTTTTCTTGACAAGCCTGTACTGTCGTGGCCCCTACTTAATAGGAGGTTAGACTACAAGGATTTGGGGGGTCGCTGCTTACCCTAAACCCTAAACCCTGCTTTGGAGCAACATGGAATCTCATGCACTTCAGACCACTTCCTGCCAGGGGAACAAGGTGTTCCTTTGTTACTGTTGATGATAGAAATCCTGCATTACCTTAAGGACCCTAGACTATGGGAATTATGGTATATTCCATATTATGGGTCATGCAGGATTTATATCATCAGCCGTACCCCTTTCACCTGCTACACTCTTGAAGGTCAGCACCTGCTTCCTCGGGAATCAATTGGTCCATGGGTGATGGTGCAAATCAGTTAAGTCGCAAGCTCTGCTAGCCCAGGCGGAGGTGATCAGGCAATGTAAGGTCGTGAGGCTTAACATACATGCCTACATATAATTATGCATACTCACATGCACGCACACGCACGCACACACACACACAGACACACACACACATTGGTTTCATACATTCGACACATGGAATATTCAAGCAGTATCACAATATAGAGATACAGCTGCAACAGGAGAACCCATATAAATACAAATGCAAGTGAAATATAAGCATAAATAAACAAGAACATGCATGTACATATATTTATACACATGCAATACGTATATATGTATACTATACAAAAATAAGCAAACATATATACAAGTATGTTCATATGGTGTGCACGCACCGGTACATGTACATATAGTTATATATATATAGAGATATATATGTATATGAATGTCGAGATGGATGCTCGTTTCAGGGCCGAGGGCTTGGGGTACAGCGCATCATGGTCCAACGGGTTTGGGTCTACTATGGTTTACTAAAGGCTTAGAGCTTGGGGTTTACATGGTTTAGGGCTTAGCTTTTGCGGTGCATGCAGAAGTAATCCAAGATGCCTTCTAGAGGCATGCTGAACGTAAGGTGCTGTTGGCGTTCTCGCGCTCTTCATCGTTCTGAGTACAACGGCTTATGTCAACACCTACGGAGGCTTGGGGCATGAAGCACCCAAGCTTTCGGAGCAACTGCAACAGAACCCTAAACCCTAAACCCTAAAGGGATGAGAAGGTTCATGAGGAGGGTTTAGGGTTGGGGTTTAGGGTTTAGGGGCTGTGTGTCGATTTGCCGTGGCTGTGGACGTTAATTTGGAATCTTCGCTCTTTTGCGGGCGTTGGTGTGTTGTCTGTTCGTGAAAGACCGCGACGACATTCCGTGTGCACAGGATAGTAGCCCTTCGCGTAAGGCCTCGTATAGTACCTCTTATATGCCATTCCGTAACCCCATGTACCTTGGGCCTTGGGAAAGAAGGTCGAGTGAACTATTAGACCTGAATCCATAATGGGGCATAAGAAGTTGCTGCTACTATTTTTGGAGGTTCCTTAGTATAATTAAACTAGAGTGGGCCCCCAAAACTTAAACCCTATTCTGATAGTTAGTTACTTTCAACCAAGCTTCCTATAAAGGAAATAAGGGTAAGACCAACCAGAGCTCCCTGGTTCTTAGTAAGGAATGGGGGAATGGATCCCTATGATAGTCCCTTCAGGTCCCCAATAATTGTCCCAAAAACCCATTCCTCCACTCCCTACTAAGAACCAGGGAGATGAACCCTAACCCCTAAACCCTAAACCCCTAAACCCTAAGCCCCTAAACTCTAAGCCCCCAAACCCCAAAACCCCTAAACCCTAAACCCCCAAACCCTAAGCCCTACTAAGAACCAGCAACCAGAAGGCCTCGAAAGGCGAACGTTCACTTATCCCTACCCACAGGCTCCTTAGTAGTTCCTTTTTGGGATGACCTTCATAGGATTCGAAAGATAAGCCACAAAAAGGAACTACTTAGGAGCCTATGGGGATTTGCCTAAACCCTAAACCCTGAACCCTAAAACCCTAATCCCTGAACCCGAACCCCCAAACCCTAAACCCTAAAACCTTTAAAGATCAGGGCTCTCTAAGCGCGAAGCTGCGGCGAATCAAGATGTCTCTGTGGTCACATACTAGGGCTCAGAGTTGAGGCCTCGCGGGGTTTAGGGTTTAGGGCTTCTGGGGCTTAGGGCTTTTAGGGTTTAGGGTCTAGGGTTTAGGGCTTGCGGCTTTTAGGGTTTAGGGCTTAGGGTAAAGAAGTCAGACAGACTCCGAACGCATAGGCCTGTTCCCCATACGAATGGCATTGAACGGAAAGCCAAGCAGGGAATGAGAGATCTCAGGAGTGGATAGACTGATACGGGAGTTTCCGAAAATACGGGGTACCATTCTTCGTCCTTATAATAAGGATCCTACTATTTAGGGTACTATATTAGGGTCCCCTATTTTCGGAAACCCCCATACATGGTACCAGTAGCACCCTTGTTCGGAGAACCCCCAAACCCTAGACCCTACAGAACGGATCGGGGCCTTGACCCTAAACCCCTAAACCCCTAAACCCTAAGCCCTAAACCCCTAAACCCCTAATCCTAAGCCCTGAGCCCTAAGCCCTAAACCGTAAGCCAAGGGGCAAGCAGTCTACAGCACAGCCTCATTGGCTTTCAGGATGCCGTTTCCTCAAGAAACCTGTACGTTGCGGAACTTTTTGGGTAGAACTCAAAAAATGGCGTTGACACATGAATTGTGTGGTTTCACTGGGTAATGGCACATGCCCAGAGCGGGAATGTAGCTCTCAAGCAGGTGAGTTTCGTCGGGCGATCTGCCGGAATGTGGGCATCAACGTGGTTTACGTCTTGACGCTCGCTTGTCATTTAAGCGTGGCTGCACTTGGCTTTAGCTCAATTGCTGTTGACTTCCAGAAGTGAGTTCACACAAGTATCTGCACACTCATATGCATACCTACAGCCCCACGGCTAACTGTTAACTGAACATGTGTACATTAACACGTGTCTATGTCTTGCGCACACAGACACATGTCCTTCCGGATGATGCAATGCTGTGCACACATGATGGAGACATACGTACACAAATGTGTCTCTGTGTGTGTGTCTGATATATACATATACATATTATATATATATATATACATATGTGGATATAAATATGTAGATACATATATATATACACATATGTACACACACATCTCTCTCTCTCTCTCTATAGAGAG